AAGTCCCAAATCCAAGGATTGCGAATCAAGCTGGGGAAATGTTGCTCACAAAATTTCAGATGCTGAGCAATCCAAATCCACAGACCAGCAGCAAACTACTGTCTGAAATCCCAAAAGCCCAAGAGGATCAGACCCAGGGTGAAGTGATTCTTGCTGGAACATCCATTTATATACTGGAGATGAGCCACACCCTATGGACACTCCCTTTTCACCTGATTGGCTATTCACAGTAGAACTCTTCATGGAGATGATTGTGTTGTTATTCGATCTTACTGTTGAGATAATTAGGTAGGATTACATCTTTGTTGGAATCCTAGTGTGGCTCTGCAGGTTCATTGGACGGACTGCAAAATTGGTTTGAACCCCAAGGGCAGTGGTTAAGTTGTCCCAAATGCCCAAAGTTTCCAAGCTGCTGCACATTTCCATCATCTGTAACATCAACTGCTCTTCCTGCCTTAAGTACTTTCCTTCTCTCATTTTAGGGTTCAGTTACTCAATGTCCCTGAAAGTTTCTCCTCACTTACATGGTTGCAAGGGCTATGGGACCCAAATCAGAAGGTCAGAGAATCCACTGTTGTCTCAAAAGGCTTCAGAAGGTGGGGAATTAGCACCGACACAAACCTTAACCTGGTCCTCCTAAAAGCAACTATTTCTGCACTCCTCTTTCTTCAGATTAGGATTTTGACCTAAAAGCACTAAGGAGTTCTGATAGTGTAGTGCTTACAAATCAGGGTGCGAACCTCAAGGTCAGCAGTTCAAAGCTACCAGCTATTCCGGGGGAGAAAGACGAGGCTCTTCTGCTCCCATAAAGATTTACAGCCTCAGAAACCCTGTACACACAGCACATAACCATCACCACCACCACCAACAACAGTGTGCTCTGGTAGCATAGTGAATTATGGGCTGAGCTGGTAACTGAAAGGTCAGCAGTTCAAAACTACCAGCTGCTCCACAGGAGAATGATGAAACTTTGTTCTGCCATAAAGATTTATAGCCTCAGAAATCTCGTGCAGGGTCACTATGAGTTGTAACTGACTCCATGAAAGGTAACTACCACCATCATGAAGGGAGTGGCATTTCACCCTTAACCCATTGAAAAGAGTTCCTTAAAGAGAAAAATTCTGAAAACTTGTTGTTGTCAGGTGCCATCGAGTGAGTACTGACTCAAAGTGACCTTATGCACAGCCGAACGAAACACTGCCCGATCCTGGGCCAACCTCACTATCATTACCATGCTTGAACCCATTGATGCTGCCACTTTGATACAAACAATGCCTGGAAGGAATGAATAGGGAAGTCTTGGAACTCAGGGCCATTGTCTCAAGGGAAACCATGGTCAACTGGCACAAAAGAGTCCACAAGACAATGTTCTGCAT